ATGTGAGGGAGGGGCTGAGAGAACCCTGTCCTCAGAGTGGCCCGGCCCTCACGTTACAAATAAGGACACAGGAGAAAAGTGCGCTGCCCAGTGCCCAGAATGGAGATGCATCCTCCACCCCATGCTCGCTCTCCGGCTCGTTTTGAAGAGGGTGGAGGCTGTGAGGCCGGAGGGACAGCCGCCTGCCAGGTGGTCCCAGCCCCGAGGGAGCTGCACTGCCTTTGCTGCGGACACGCGTGGGCCTGGGGAAGGGGGGCGGGAGATGGAGTGTGGGGCGGGGTGCGGTGTCGCCTCCACAGAGGAGGGTGTGGAGAGGGAGCCGGGGAACAGGCTGACCACTCATTCCTTGGGCCACTCCCTCTTTCTCAACCTCTGACCTCCCTGAGGCCAGGGCACGGCTCAGCCTCCTCAGCTGGACTCTGGGCAGCGCCCCAGGTTGATACCTGTGGTCAGGCCAGTTGAGCAGCCAGACCCACTGCTCCTGCGGCCTCCCCTCCCCTCCCCTGCGCGGCTCTCCCGATGGGGCTGCACGGGCAGGTCCTTGGCTCTGGGGCGTCCCAAGGACTCTGGCTTCGTGGTCCCTCAAGCTGCTCCTGTGGTGTGAGGACCTGGGCACGAGGGAGAGTCCAGGGCACCAGCTGCCCTGAGGGAATGCAGCGCCTTGGCCCCAAGCTCCTGGGCGGCGGGGAGGGGGAGCCTCTTCCCGTAGCCAGGGGCAGGGCTGACTTGGGTAGGAGGGCCCTCTGGGCTGGGGCTTGGAGTCTGCGGGGAACCACTTCACACCTGGCAGGACAGACACCTGCTGGCTTCTTCTGGGGCCACTGGGGCCTCCTCCAGAGGCCTCCACAGGTCCTCTGTGGCCAAAGAGAGAGCTCTGGATTGGGGGCTGGCTCTCAACCCAACCGAGCCACACAGTGTAAATAAAGTTTTATTGGAACAAAGCCATGTTCATTTGTCTATGTCTTGCCTAAGGCTGCTTTTGTAGGACAATGGCAGAGACCATATGGCTTGCAAAGCTTAAAACACTTATGTCTGGTCATTCACAACACAGTTCACCCAGCCTGCTCCCGACCACCAGACCCGGTCTCCTGCCCCCTGGTCTCCAAGGCTGGAGGGGCCCCGACAGGGGAGGCCTGGCCCAGAGGGGCAGAGCCAAGAAAACCAAACCAGGGAGCAAGCGGAGAAAGACAAAGGTCTAGGTGGTGGGCACAGCTGGTTCTGACCCTGCCCTCTTCCCTCTCTGCCTGGTGCTAAGCTCTCCCCAAACATGGCCAACAAGGGACCCTCCTATGGCATGAGCCGCGAGGTGCAATCCAAGATCGAGAAGAAGTACGACGAGGAGCTGGAGGAGCGGCTGGTGGAGTGGATCGTGGTGCAGTGCGGCCCGGATGTGGGGCGCCCGGATCGCGGCCGCCTGGGCTTCCAGGTCTGGCTGAAGAATGGCGTGGTGAGTGGCACCTGGGGAAGGGTCGGGCTGTGCCATTCTGTCAGTGTCCTGGGGCAGGCACCCCGAGCCGAGTGCCAAGCCGTGTCTCTGCCTGGCAGATCCTGAGCAAGCTGGTGAACAGCCTCTACCCCGACGGCGCCAAGCCAGTGAGGGTGCCCGAGAACCCTCCCTCCATGGTCTTTAAGCAGATGGAGCAGGTGGCTCAGTTCCTGAAGGCAGCTGAGGACTACGGCGTCACCAAGACGGACATGTTCCAGACTGTTGACCTCTTTGAAGGTACAGAGAACAAGGGGGTGGAGGAGCTGGGTGAGGACGGGTGGCTCAGGCAGGGACCTTTGATGGAAGCAGGAGTGGGCGGTACAGGGAGACCACAGCACACTCACAGGGGCACACACACCAGGGCCCTGGAGCCTCGAGATTCCGCCGTGACCTTGCCCCGAGGTTGGCCGTCTTTCTGAGAGGTGGGGCGGGCCGCCTTGGGAGTCCTGTTTACGGGGCCCTGAAGTGTGCCCGCCCACCCTTCCCACAGGCAAAGACTTGGCAGCCGTGCAGAGGACCCTGATGGCCCTGGGCAGCCTGGCAGTGACCAAGAACGACGGGCACTACCGCGGAGACCCCAACTGGTTTATGAAGTAAGTGGCTCCTCCAAGTGCGGGTCTCCGCATGCGAAGGGGGGTGGCCTGGGCTCCCCGATGGTGTGAGTGATTTGGGGAACAGATAGCCAGGGAGGGACATGGTCTAAGAGGGGACATGGGTCCCTTAAACTATTTGACACTTCCCTTCCTACCCTCGGGGCTCAACCAGCCTCCTAGCCTGAGGGCCAAGCTAGATGAAGGTGGGGGGGCTGGGGGGGCGGGACACGACCAGGAGGGAGAGGGACCAGGCTAGGGAGTGGCAGAGCAGACAGCAAGCAGGCCTGGGAGTGGTCACCGGCCGGTCCCTCCTCTAGGAAAGCCCAGGAGCACAAGCGGGAGTTCACGGAGGGCCAGCTGCAGGAGGGCAAGCACGTCATTGGCCTGCAGATGGGCAGCAACAGAGGGGCCTCCCAGGCCGGCATGACGGGCTACGGGCGGCCTCGGCAGATCATCAGCTAGAGGGCCAGGCCAGCCCCCAGCCCGGCCTCCCCGCTCGTTGGCTGCAGCCTCCCTCCTCGCCCACCTCCCACACCCGAGTTCCTTCGCCCCAGCCAGCTTCCGGGCTCCGAGCTCCATCACTGAGCACAGGGGACTGCGCTTGGGCAACTCGCCCCACCCCTGAGCCCGATTCTTCCTCTGAAGCACTGCTCCCGGCCTTCCCCAGCTCCCCGCCTCCTCCCTGGTCTCCCCCAGCCTGGGCTGTGCAGGGGGCTGGGCTGGGACAAACCCACCGTCCCTCCTAGCCTGCAGACGCCCATTGAGGGAGACCCAGCCCAACCCCCCCCCCCCCCAAGTTTGCTGGAATATTTCGGGGGTTGAAATTCAAGGTGAAAATATACATCAATCTTTTCTCAGGCCTGGCTGGCAGTTTGATTTGCCCTCGTCACTTCCGTGTGGTTCTGGGAAAAAGGGCATCTGTGAGGCCCTGGCCAACGCCCTCTGAAGAACCCCTCCCACTGCAGGGTCCCGGGTGCAATTCTCAGAGGACCAGGCCATGGGAGAGGAGAGTAGATCTCGGGGCTGACGGGGAGGAGCTACTTGGCAACTTGCTTAGCAGAGAAGAGGAGATGGGAGGGGGCAGAATTATGTGGAAGTTTTTTATTTGGAAAAGCTGTGCAGAAAAAACTCCACAGAAGTTGCTGTGACAGGAGGAAATCAAACCTTAAGTGTTAAAAAAATGAGTCAGCCAACCAGCTCAGAAGAGGGGGAGCCAAGAAGGGAGTCAGAGCTGCTGGCAGACAGCTGGCCTTGGGGCAAGGCCGTTCCCTGAGCACTTTCCGAGGAGGACAGGGCGGCTGGGCTGGGTGGCAGTGGCCGCACCCGTCCCGGTCCTGTGCAGACTCCCCTGGAAGCAGCAGCCAGGCCAGGCCCTCCCCGGCTTGGCCAGGAGCATCGTCCTGACCCTTCGGGATGAAAGGTGGGGATGGTGAGGGAGTCGGGGGTTCAGGGGTGGCTTCTGATTAGGGAGACTGAGGCAATGGCTTGAGGGCCGCGTACCGGGCGCAGGGACCACAGCCACACCCGTATGTCCAAGGTCCAAGGCTGAGGCAGGAAGGGGAGGACAGTCTGCTGGCTCCGGGTCCTGGGTCCTGAGGACAGGATATCTGCGCCCTCTTCCCAAGTGACTCCAGGGATGTTTCCGCTGGGATGCTCTTCTGGCTACGGCAGGCCCCTTCTCACGCCTGCACGGGCGGGCGAGGGTCCGTGGCCGCACCCCTGGCCAGGGGAAATGAGGACGGAGGCCTGCCCGGAAGGGACGGGCCAATCCCATCTGGTCCTTCTCACCCGAAGCTGCCGGTTCAGGAAGGTCCTGTGCTGCTGCCACGTTCTCTGTACGCTACTCCGGTGCCCCCTCAAAAGCCGTCCCTCCCTGAGCGCAGTCAGAGGAGCTCTGGAGCCTCGGCCCGACGTGCGCATCAGGGGCCCCTGCTCCCAGGGCTCCCGGGACTTGGGAGCAGCTGCCAAGCTCCCCGCAGGGGAGGAAGAGCACGTGCCAGGCTGAGCTGCTGTCGGTCAGCACATCTGCTCCTCCCTGCCCTGCAGGCCTGGGGCCGGGTCATCCGCAGCGATGAGAGGGCCTGCAGCCTCCGTCTCCCCTCCCCCAGGGTCCTTGCTGCTGCAAAGTGGCACTGACTCCAGTTCGGCCCCCTCCTCCCTGGCTTTTCGGCTTCTTTGGGGCCCGAGGCAGGGTCCGCTCCGACAAACCGGGTGAGAGGCCACATTCCTCTGGCTCAAGTAGACTTCCAGCACGTAGTACACAGTCCAGAAGGCGGCAAAACAGCCGACCAGCACCAGGGTCTGGGGGAATCCCACACCTACGTTAAGGACGTTTCCCAAGACCCGCAGCCTTTCCTAGCCCAGAATGCTGAGCTCAGAAAGTCTCTCTCCCACGAGGGGCTGCCTCTGCTGCCCCAAACCATTCACCTACATACTAGGAAGTGCCAGCTGGCAGGGGGACAACCCTGTCTTCCACCACCTTGCCCATCCCTC